CAAATGAAAAATATATTATATAAAATAATATAATAATATAATAATTATTATAATAAATTACAACTCCACTTTTTTTTTTATCATTGTCCTTCTTAATATTTTGTTTATTTTCTATTTTATTAATTTTTGCCATATTTTCATCCTAAGAAAAAAAAATAGAATAATTTAATATATTTCAATTCATATATAATTATTTAAATTTTAAACTTAAACTCTATTCTTTTTTTATAGAAAATATGTTTTAATATTTTTATACCTGCTTTTTTGGATCTCTAAAATAGGTTTGGCCTTCAAGTGTCACATGAGACAATTCTGGCTGTTGTAAAAAATAATTTTTAGCATCTACAGCTTGTGATCCTTCATGAAATAAAAACACAGATCTTTTTTGATCAATTGGATACCTATAAAAGATTTAACTATGTTATAAATAAAAACTATATTATAAAAATTATGTAAATATTTTTATTTTTATTATATAAATATATATATAATACATTATAAATTAAAATTTATGAAAAAGAATAATACCTTTCTGCAATTATATGATTGTTTTGAAGACTAGTTTGCCAAATTCTCATTATCATTTCAGCTTTTTCAGCAGACATATCTTCATTAGTGTCCACAAACATCATCACACTTTTACCTTTCTTTGTCATTTTTAACACATTATCAGGATTTGACATATCAAGCTAAGAAAAAAAATTATAATATATAAATATAAATAATAAAGATATATAACTGTAATGTATATATAATATATAACACTATAATATTTAAATATGCTAGATTGATTTATAAAATGCTTAAAAAAATACTTTAAATGCAATACTTTGGATATATCAATTTTTGGACTAGGTCTAAGATGTTCTGGTAATTCATCTGGTTCCAATGGTTCATCATTTTCCTAATTATAAAAAAATTAATTTTGTTAATACTTTTATTTTATTTTTATAATAATCATAATAACTAAATAAAATTTGATGTACCTCCCATTGATCTAACAAGTGTTCTAAATCCGCATCAGTCATATCGCGTATATCTTTATCCCGCCATGATTTTTTTTTGTTTAATTTTGCATCATTACTTGCATTCACATAAATTAATAAAAATATACTATAAATAATAATTTCTTTTCTCATATTTGAAAATTGCAAAAATCAATACGTCGATATGAAATCTAAAATTTTTGGTTATTAAACAGTTACTATATTTTGAAAACTCCTAATTTAGTTCTAAAATAAAATCACTGATTTAATTTCATTATTGTGATTTTATTATTATTTTTTTCAATATAGTATTCAATAAATATAGTTCAAAAATAAAAAATAATTCCCTAAATTTAAACTTAGTTTAAATTAAATCTAACTTAAAAAAATTGAAATTTTATCTAAATTCAATTTTTTAAATAATGTATATATATTCAAATTGTAACATTCAAATTAATCAGTTTTTTATAAATTTAAAATACATGTTTTTAGATTGTCTTTGTATATTATGTAGAAACATTATAAAATATATCTTTAATATATCTTATCTTATATCCCACAATAAAGTTCAATTAAGTTTTTTTTTTCAAAAATTTATTTAAAAATTATATTTAATTAAAATTCAATTTCAATAATATAATTTTCAATAATATAATTCTTTAAATTTGTAAAATCATATTCATTTCATGAAGAAAAACGATTAGTGTTGCCATCTAACGTATTATAAAAAATGACAATGAAGACAATAATGTTCACAGTTTTATACGATGATGCAAATTGTAGTCAGTATGTCATTTTCATTATTATTTAGTCGCGTTAAAAATTCCGTAGAAATTATTTATTAAAATTTGTGATATGATTTAATTATTGCGTTGTTGATAAAAAAATTATTATAATTAATTATATTATTAATTATTAATTAATTATTGAATTTAAAGTAGGTCAAAAATATTTTCCTATTTTTTTATTCTGTATTGAAATGGTTATACCACGCAGTAATCCTGAGATACTAATTATGAAATAATTGTATATATTTTTTTAGGATTTCTTTGTTTAATAAAAGTGCATGTAAAGTAATAATGCAAATCAAAGTCATTTGATAGTAAAATGATAGATAACATTTCATAGTATTAAACATTTATTAGTTATTGATATATTTTTTTATATTACTTGTTCGTGATAACATGCGTGAAATTATACTGCCTGCATCATTTGTCACTTAAGTATGTGTTTGTTACTGACCAAAACTGAATGATCTAAGCAGTGATGATATATGATATATGATAATTTAGTAAGTTTTTGTCATTCTTTTAATTTTATTAAAGTATCTTGTAAAAGATCTTTTCCTATGATATTTGAATAAAAAAATGTAAGAATAAAACTTTTTAGAAATTTCTATAAAAAATAATTGTATTTGTTCTATTGTTTTTATGTTGTATATTAATTTTAATTGATGATAATTAATATGATTGATTTAAAAAATTGATTTTAAAAAAAGTAAGATATATTGTATTAATTATAAAAATAATTTTATTTCAATATTTAAATATCTTTTTTAAATTAAAATAATTTTTGTATTATTATATATAAAAAATAATATTGTTTTATTATTTTTTTATTTGTATTGTATTTTACAAAATTGAAAAAAATATTTATTATATGAAAAATTTTAACATAAGATGCTTCTAATAATTATTAATTAAAGAAAAAATTTTTTTTATTAAATTACATAATAAAAATATAACATAATTTTATTATTTTTCAGATTTTGATATGAAGATACATTGGAATAAATCCAAAAATTATCATTTAAATTTTTTATAAAATAAAAATACAAAAAATGAATAATTTTCAAGATGAAATCGACATGCAAGAAATATTATTACTTGGAAAACTTCTGCACCAAAATGGAGACAAAGTTTTAAATTCAGTGGGAAAGCTGTCTTTATCAACAACCTTATTATGTAATTTAAATTCAGCTTTCTCTTTAATTGTGGATGGATCTGAAGATTTAGAAGCTTCATTTCAAGTATGCAATAGTTCAAAAATTGACATATTTCGTGACTTGAAATTTTTACATGATTTTATACAGAAGACAATTGGCCTAAAATTGATTTATTGTCCAAACAATCCTAATATCCCTGTTGATATTACTAAATTTAGGTGTTTGAAACATTTAGAATTAAAGAAAATCAATATTAATTCTGTGAAAGGACTCCAAGATGTTAGAAGTCAACTTGAAAGCATTATCTGTGCTGGTAGAAAAGGAGTTTGTACTTTGAAACAATTGTTGGGTAAATATAATTAAAAAATAATTAAAAAATATTATTCAATATTATACATATTATTTTTATATAGCAAATTGTGGAGGAGATGCTAGTATTGGATTTATATGGAGTTCTTTGAAACATTTAGCATTACCACATAATTCTCTTGAACAATTGGATATATCTTTAGAATTAGTACCTTGGCTACAAATAATAGATCTAAGTCATAATTTGATAACATCTGCAGATCAATTATCTTGTTTACCAAATTTAAAATATGTGAATCTTGGATATAATAAACTTGAAACAGTACCTACTTTTAGTGAAACTGCATCACACTTATTACAAGTATTAGTTCTAAAGAATAATTATATAGAAAATCTAAATGGTAATAATTAGTGTGTTTAATTATTTTACATATACAATTTATAAGAGCACAAATACATTGATAAAGAAAGTTTTTATGAATTATTTTTTTTTAAAATAGGTTTACAAAATTTGGAATGTTTAACAGAATTAGATTTATCACATAATTGCGTGATGGAACATTCAAGCTTGTGGCCTTTAGAAAAAATGTCTGCTTTGTTATGGATATCCTTGGAAGGCAATCCCTTATCATATCATCCGAAATATCGATTACTAGCTATAAAACATTTACATCCTTGTTTGAGTAATAGCAAAGTATGATGTATTATTATAAAAAGCCAATTTTAAAATATAATAAATAATTATATTTTATATAAATATGAATAAAAAATGTCATAATTTAGTTTGTTTTAGATCATGTATCATTATCAAAATCAGAAAAGGAAATTATTGCAGAAAATCGATTGTTTGCTATTAAATCTAAACAATTCCTAACAAATGAATTTCACACTTCAATGTCAGATTCTTTAAATTCTAGTAGTTTATTTACATCTACAAGTGAATTAGCAGGGTCAAGTAATATGGACAAAAGTTTTTCTAAAAGTAAAAAGAAATCTAGTATAAAAGAAGCCATTATTGCAGATGTTGAACAAGAAAAGAAAGAAATAAAAACAGGTAAAAAATTGATTTTGTTCTTTTTTTTTTTCTTTTTTGATACTGAAATATATAATACTATTTTATTTTTTTTTATTAATTCTTACTAGCTATTAATTTTATTTTAGAAACAACATCGAAAGGACATTTAGAAACAAAAAAACAAATTTTAGAGATACGAAAAAAATATGGAGAAGATAAGTGGTTAAGTAGTCATGCTGGAACATTTGTTCAAGATATTATGGGATTACAACCTTCAACGTGTCCGATATTGATACCGGAATTTGCGATAGAAAATTTAGATTCTAAGAATATTGTAGCAAGTGCTGAAGATTCAGCTATTCTTTTAATGAAAAATACAAAAATTGAAACAAACGAAGAATCTTTAATGAAGGAGATTAATGAAAGTAATAATGAAAAAGAAAATGAAAATGAAATATTAAACAAAGAAGAGAATATTTCTGAAATTATATTAACCAACAATGCAAGTGCCATTGCAGATATATCTGAACCCTTATATGATCCAGAACAAGGTATATTGTATATAAATTAAATTACATATAAAAAAATTAAAAAATGCTAAAAAATCATTATTTTAATAACTATTTAATATATGTTTAATATATATTAATATATTTTTAAATTCTAGAAGGAGGAAAATTATATGTAGTTCAAAAGAAAAAAAATGCAGACGAATTGGAAGATTTATTTTTAATGATAACATCAAAGTAAGTGTTTTTATTGCATTAAAAATTGTATGATGTTATTTTATCATTTAATTATTGTAGTGATATTAAAGAGATAGATTCATTTACTGGAAAATTGAAGTACTGTTGGTCAATGAGTTCTGTATTGTCATGTGTATTGGGTAGAAGTGAACCAGTCACAGTAGATATAATTTTTGATACAACACGAGAACATCGTCAAAATAGAAGATATTTTGTAAAATCAGATGTTGCAAAAGTAAGAAATAAAAAAACACAATTGTAGATATAATAATATATTGTAAATGATATATAATAGTAATATATGACATATACAATGACATGTAAATAATAATATATTGATTATTTTGCAGGAAATAGTAAAAATAATTAATGAAGAAATCAAAAAAAGACCAATGTTATTGAAAATTTTTAAATGTATGAAATGTTCAACTCATTTTTCTCAAGATTTAGAATATGTTACTCTTATAAATTCTACTATATCAGGTATATTTTTTAATAAATGATAAATATAAATAAATTACATTCTATAAGTTACAATAGATCCAATATTTTAAAAAATGTATTTTATTAGGTATGAAATGTCCCACTTGTAAAAGTACTTTAGTTATAGAAACAGACGAATTATCAATTTTGAACATGGAAAATGATATTTCCGAAAATTCATTGGAATGCATAAATAAAAATCAGTATTCAGAAAATCCAATAAAGGCTAATTTACAACATTCTGAGTCTTATTCTAGTATTGGTAAGTATTAGTTCATTATAAGATTTAGCATGTATAATTAATATTTCAAAAATAAATGAAACATTTGATGAAAAAAATTTTTTAATAATAAAATATAATATATTTTTTGAGTATATTTACATAACCCAATTCTTATTATTTATGTGGTGTTCAAACTTATTAATTGTAAAATAAATAAAAAATAAGAGTTATATATTTTTATGAGGTTTCTACAATAAAAATTAACCATATATTTATTTGTTTATAATATTGAATTTTGTAATATTTAGTATATTTTTTAAGTTTTACAATATTTCTTAATTTTTGAATGTGAATGCACTAATTTTGTAACTGCTGATTGCATTACCATGCATTGTACTATTGACTGGGACTATAACATACTAATCCCGGTGCAGGTGGAATGGAGGGTGGAGCTATATCCGTCACCACTTCTCTGGTGCACTCTGATTCTCACACCCAAGCTCAAGTCTGTTGTAAGCTTCAGCCACAGTATTTTATTACAGCACTTTCTTTATTATAGCACTATTTTTTCAAGCACCTTCATAATTAAAGACATAAAGCTGTAATATTATATAGTTGCTTTACTATTTACAATTTTATATTACTATTATATTATGCCCATATTTTTATTTTTGTATTCACAAAATTGTATTACACATTTATTTAATATGAACAATTATAACAGTTCTATTGCATTAAAAAAATTGATTATAAATAAGAATTATATAGGAAATGGAAGAAAATGTGATTTTTTAAACAAAATAAAAAAAAACAAAAAAAAAGTAATGAGCACTTCTTTAAATAATATGTTATGTTAAAATTATATATATAAATATAATATATATAATTTTAATAATATATATTAGATTTAGATTATTATTTTATTATATCATTTATAGGTTCAGCCACAAGTTTAGAGGAATCAAGAGAATCTACACCATCTGCAAATACATCAAATAAAAAATATGAAAGTGATATAGAAGTATTAAGCAATCCAAGTCAAAGTAGTATCGAAGTTTTGGACGATGCATCGAGGTAAAGTATAATTTTTTTTGTTTTTTTCTGAAGACATTTATTCGATATATTCATAAAAATATTTTAAATATTAATTATACAATAAGTTTTTTCTTTATTATATTTATATTAACTGCTACAGAACTCATCTTACGCCTCATAGAAAGCGTTCTTCAGAAGAAAAACGTACTGTTATTGTTCCATCTCTTTTAACAATACCTGATGCAGCTCCAATTATAACTGGTTTAACTGAGAGTAGCTCTTCAGGTTTACTAAACTTTTAATAATTAAATATATAAAATTATTAATTTTTATTATAAAAATGATAATTTTAATTAATAAAGCTATATTTCTAGGTTCTTTAACAGATAGTATATGTACTGCATATGAAAATAAAATAATGAAGCAGGTTAATGCAGATGAAAAATCTCTTAATAGTAATGATAAAGAATAAAATTTACACCTGTAACAAATTTAACTTCTATGCTAGGTGGTAAATAAAATTATATATTTTTTGTGTTTTAACATTAAACTATATTTAAAATTATATTTAATAAACTATATATTAGCTACATCTTATTTAATGAATAATTTTAGGACTACTTCAAAGTATAAAAATTGGTAATAGTAAACCGTTAATGTTAAAAACGGAAGAAACATCACATCTAATAAGTAGTAATATTCAGTATTCTTATACGGATTTCAACAGTATAGATCATAGAATAAAATTGCATATCATTTTGAATATATTTGAACATGAAAATGAAGAACTCATTCTTCTCCTCAGGGTAATACATTAAATTTTATAATTTAAATTTATTTTTAAAATTAATATTTTATTTGAATGTTCTTAAATCATTGATGAATCTTTAGGCAGAAATTTTAATGCAAAATACAAAAGAAACATTTCCTGGTTGTTTGGTTTTATCTACATTCAAAGTATATGTGCTTAAAATTGTTGGAATAGAAGGGTAATAATAAAATAAGATTTAATTTTATATGAATTTCATTTATAAAAATTTATATTAATTTATATATTCTATTATTATTATAGAGAAGACCCACAACGATGGTTGCATAAAGAAATTAGTTGGACGATAGATAGATTAAAACGTTTCTCACCAATACCATTTAAACAAGGTATTTTAATTGAATTAGAACAACCTAACAAAATTAATGACGAACCGAATTCTACTATTTCATTCTTATGCGTTCTACAAGATCTACAAAGGACACTCAACTTTCTAGTTTATGTTACTGGTAACAAGAGAATTTATTTAACATTTAAATACCAATAATCGATAAATTAATTATTTTCTATTACCATTGCAGATTTTTTATTACCATCTATTTGTGAAGAAGTTGAACTCACAGTCTCAGAATATTGTACTTCTTCAATGTATCAATTACTAAAAAATTGCAACAATTATCAAGATGGAGATACTGTTAGACACCTTGCATTATTTTCTTCTGCCATATTAAAATATCAAAATCTCGAAGTTCAACTTAAATTATCAAGTTTAATAGTGACTACATCTGTCTTAGCATTGTGTAATATGCAATGGCTTCTTCCAGGCAATAAAGAATCACCTCATATAATAAAAGAACAAGCAATGAGTAATTTGATTGGAGTTGTATGTATTGAAATATTAATAAATATAAAAAATAAAATTATTAGAATTCTAATTTTATTAATATACTTAACTGCATTATTTGTATTTTTAGGAACATTATAACTCTTCACTGACATTGAATTTCTTAGATGAAGTAATAGGACAGGAGGAAACGTGGATTCTAGATTTTGTTTCTATGAGTGCTGCAGAAATAGTTGTCACTTCTATACGATCTCCATGGGAGGAACTTTTTTCAATTCCTTTACAAAATACAATTTGCAAATCACAAGATTGTGAAAATGAATAAAACATTAAATATACAGGAAAGTATTCTAGTCCAAGAAAATGTATCAGGTAATCTATGAACGAATATAGTTTATTGAATTAAATTGGTAGTTAATATAATTTTGCACAAATTAGTGACATATCTTTTGTATAAGATTTGTAATTTATTAGATTAAAAAAAAGTATAAAAAAGTATATTTGACCAACAAAAATATATTATATAATCATACAATATAACAAAAATGTATCATAAATAACAATTATTTTGTGCAATTTCATAATTTATATTTTATATTGTTCTACAACTTATAATATTATATTTATGCAATAAAATTGAGAAATGTAATATAAAAATATTTAAAAATATAAAAAAATGTTGTGGATAATATTTAAAAAATTAACTATCTTAAATTAATCTTAAATTCTTTCTAATATAATAATATTTTATAATATTATTTTATTGGTTTTTACATTCAACAAAAATTTCAAATGGTGCTATTAATATTAAAGTATTGTATTTTAAAATGATTGTTAATACAAATAAATTTTTATATTAATAATTTATTACATATTTTAAATAATTAAATGTTTGATAATATCATAATTATGATTTATGTTCTTAGATTGTTGAAGTTAGAATTCTTATTTTAATTTTCTTACAATTAAAAAATTCGTCTTTATAATATTCATTGATATTCAATTTGAAATAGCTTTTAATAAAATGAAAATTTTTATAATTACATGATTTTTATATTATAAAAAAAATTAAATAAATTTTACTTTTTTTCATAAATATTAAAATTATTAAAATCTCAAAAATATTCAAATAATATATTTTCTTTATATTATGATAAAAATAAATATAAATATGTTAAATAAATATGTTATAATAATGAACAATGTTTGAATATTAATCTGTGATATGTTAATTTTTATCTATCTATATTATTTTTATCTATGAAGTATGTTTATTATAAAATTATATTATATTATGATTTATAGGATGAAAGAAATATAAGAAACAATTTTATATTAGATTCATTAAAAACATTAATATTTAGTTTAAATATTAAAATTAATTTTAATTTATATATTGTACTAATTAACATTAAATAATTGATAACTTATTGTATTATAAGGATCAAAGATTATTTGTATATATATGTAAATAAATTCTTATGATATCCATTATCTAAGTTATGTTATGTCCTAGAAAATTATATAAAAAAGTAATAGTATATATTTAAAAATGAATGTTATATGCAAAAAACAAATATGTATTTAAATTTAGTATTGTAGAACTATAGCTATAATTGAGACAAAACATGTGAAAATTTGTATACTCAAGATATTCTGTATTGATGATGATAATAGAACATGTAATATGTAAATGAAACAGTTGGAAATGACTGGAAATAACTTAGTACGTTTGTTGCATACATAAAATGTCTCAAGTATGTGTCTATTATATTACTTTTTAATAGTTAATAGCGTTGTTAAATATCATTTAAGTCGTGACAATATAAAATAGTAAATTGTAAAATAGAATAGATTTAAATTCAATTAAAATGTACTATTCTATAAAATTTATAATATTGATAATAGCCAGTAAGTTCAATTATGTTCATACTATTTTATTATATTATTTATAGCTAAAAATACAATATATTTTTAGTACCAATTATTGCCGGACATTTTGGATACAATAAATGTGGTATGTAATAATTTCTAATATTTTTTATATTTTCATTTTACATAAAATATAATATTTCAGACCAACACACATGGATTCAAAATTTTAAATTATGTGGCGGAAAATTACAATCTCCAATACATATATCATCATTCAAATCAATACCTCTTCCTTTGCCAGCACTTGAAATAATTGGTTATCATGATTTTCTCCCGAATCCATTATATTTAAAAAATAATGGCCATTCAGGTATTATGATTAGATATTTTATATAAAACTAATACATGATAATAGATTATATTTAGTTATAACAAATTTTTTTTTAGTTGTAATAAATATAAATAATCGTTTTGAAAAAAGATTGCCTTATATATTTGGGGGTTCACTTAATGTGAACCAAGAATATGAAATAGATCATTTACATTTTCATTGGGGTGCAAAAAATAACAGAGGATCTGAGCATATTTTAAATGGTGTTAGGTAAAGTATGAAAAAAAATACGAGTTTAATTATTATTAATATTTATTTAATTTTTTTATTTTTCTCTTATAGATATCCTATGGAAATGCATATAGTTCATAAAAATAAAATTTATTCAAATTTATCTAATGCATTAAATTATAAGGATGGCCTTGTGGTTTTAGGGATTTTTTTTCAAGTAAGTTCTTAAAAAAAAATTCTTTTTTTGAATATTAAATTATTATATTTAGTTACAGGAAAAAGACAATAAAAAGTTATATTCTATTGTAAATCATTTATTGAGTGTGCGACAATTAAATAAAGAAGTAAAATTAAATATATCTATAACCTTGGCTTCGTTATTACCTAAAAATATAGATGTATTTTATACTTATAAGGGTTCATTAACTACACCTCCATGTAATGAAGTAGTAACATGGGTAATTTTTCCAAAGCCAGTACCAATATCTTTTACACAGGTATCTTAATATATTGCAATTAATATTTATTAATATTTTATTATTAATTTATTTTTTGATTAAAAATAATCTGTTTGCAGCTAAATAAATTTAGATTACTTTGTAATGAAGAAGGTACATTAGCTAATAATTACAGAAAATTGCAACAAATAGGACTTAGAAAAATATATGTTAGAAAGTTAAATCCATCTTTAATTGAAAAATATAATAAAACGATTTTTAATGTTATGAATTTGGAATGGTTTTGGCATTAAATATAATTTTACATTATTAAAAATAAAATATTACTATTATAGAAATAATATTATAACAACAATACTATAGAATTATTATTAAATAATTATTATAACAAAAATAAATATTTATATGAAAAAATTAAATTAAAATTTTAAATTTATTCAATTTTAAGAATTAAACATTCGAATAAAAAAATAATATGCATTACTATGTATTATATTGTAAAAAATAAAAAGGACTAAACAAAAAATAATAATGTTCCTTTATTATATGATGAAATATAAGTTTTATAAATACTTTTTTTCTATATCTAATTTCAAATTAAACGAAAGAACATTTTTACGATATTGTCATGTTAATAATAATTAACCATCATTTAAATAAAATGAAGAAATAAACATATAGCATAATGTTTAAAACTAGAAAACTACTTTAGTTAATAAAGATTTTTAACTAGACGTGAAGATAACAGATATTAATTATTAGTGCAAGTAACTAGAATGTGAAAATAGAGTTGGTGAAATCAAATACGTTGCAGATGGCATTGATAATATCACATTTCTACGCAATGTTATCATCTGAATTACAAAAAACTTAAAATTAGTTGGTAATTCGATATAAACCAGATTTCGATTTTAAAAAATTAGATTCAGTGCGTGACAGTGTATTATTTTAATAGAAATTCAACAGAAATTTAACAAAAATTATCTAACAATATAACAAATAGTAATAAATAAGTTTTGCAGTGATAATTATAGCAATTGAGATTACGAATTATTTTTTTTTTATTTGTATGCTATTCGAATCCATTTCTACGCGGCATATACGAATTACTTAAAATTAATTGCTAAAGGTTATGCGATTTTTTTTTATCGATCGATTTTACTTTTATGCGTCAATCATTCGTTATTTGATGTAATGCACGAAAATTTATCGTAAATCCACATTGTCATTCATTTTTTCGTGTATTTTTAAATTTTTTATTTTCTCAAGATAAAAATTGAAAATGGTCTTTGAATCGATCATTGCTGAACTTCTAAATAAAGTATTAGGGGAATATATTCAAAATTTGGATCATACGCAATTAAAATTGAGTTTATGGGGAGGTAAGCATTTACAAATTGTTTTGAAAATATTATACATTCTTTGTATGATATATTTCAATTACAAAGAACATGCTTCTAATTGAATCATAATTGATGTTTAGGAAAATTAAAAAAATAAACATAATAACGTATATTTGATAACATACAGTTTGATATTTCATAAATACATATAAATATATTATTAATATATCAATGTGATATCATATCTATTTATATTACAATTTTTTCAAGGAATTCTTTATCGCTTATGAAACATATATATAATACAATTATAAAATACATACATCAAAATGTATTCTGTAATATAATAAAATTTATTAAAACAAATAATTTATGTTATCTTTGGTGCTATTTTATTGAAAAGAAAAAACTTTTTATTGGATATTAATTATATTTTAAAATTTCAAATATATAAACATTATGTACATAAAATTTTATTTTTTTATATTATATATGAATATAAATATTATTAACATAATAAAAATATTACATTATTATTAATTTATACAGTTATAATTTTATATCTTTTTTTTTATAATATTTAAATATTATACTAAATCAAATTTTGCAATTTATTTTTATATATATTATAATTCATATTATTATAGTAGACAATTTATATAATCAAAAATTATTAATTTAAATATTATAAATAAGAAACAATTTTTATAATATTTTATTTTTATTATTTGTTTATTTATATATATTTTTAAATGAAAATATATATTTTTATGAAAGCAATAAAGACATTTTATTACGTTTTTCTTTTTAGGAGATGTAGTATTGACAGACTTATTAATAAAAGAAACTGCATTAGATATATTGAATTTACCTATTAGATTGGAATATGGAAGATTAGGTTTGTAAATCAAGTATGCATATTTGTGTAATAATATAGAACTAATAGTTTATATCTTTATCTTTCTTTAGGAAAACTTATATTAAAGATACCATTTAAAGATATGTGGAATGGACAGATTGATGCTATAGTTGAAGAATTATATTTACTTGTAGTACCTTCAAATCAAATTGCATATGATGCAGAAAAGGAAGAAAAAATACAGCTTGAAGCAAAACGTGCAGCGCTTGCAAGGGTTGAAAAAAAAAAACAATTAGCAGATATTAAATGTAATAACATTTCGTACTTTATGATTTAATATTAAATACTTTTATGATTTTTTTATCTTTTAAATAATTACAATTATACAGTTACAATTATTTTACTTATAACTTTTAGCACAAGAGAAACTAGATGATTCAATGATTGAAAAACTCATTGCTCGAATGATTAAGAATATCCATATTGAAATTAAAAAGATACATGTGAGATATGAAGATCATATTTCATTTAAAGATCATCCTTTTTCTGTTGGTTTTACATTGAATATATTTACTTTAGAAAGTTGTAGTGATACTTGGGAAATAAATAATTTAAAGGATATGTATGCTATTCCACAAATTTACAAGGTAAGTTATAAAACTTATTGAAGAAATAGTAAAAGAAATATTTTTTAAAATAAAAAATATTCTTCTTTTAGTTATGCACACTAGATGGTTTAGCAGTGTATCTTAATACAACTATAGAACAGTTTAGTCATATACAATCAAAATATTCAGATCTATTTTATAGTGGAATTGCAACTATAGATTATAATCCACCTGGCTATCAATACTGTAAGAAAATATAATTTAAAACAATACAAAAAGATATAGAATAGATGTAGAATAGATAAATAGGAAAATAGATACTAGTATTAGATTTATTAATTCTTTCATTTAAATTTTATATTAAAATTTTTTTATAATTATCTAGTATTGGGTCCAATAAATGTCAATGCTAAATTAAAATTAAATCCAAAGCCAGAAACAGATGGAAGTAATTATAAAATTCCTAAAGTATGGTTGGACATGGAAATGCAAAAATTAAGAGTAGGATTAGCAAAAAAACAATATTATACTCTTGTTCAATTAGGGGAAGGTTTAGATCAAGCTCAAAAAGCTGCACCATATAGAAAGTACAGACCAAATTTACCATCATATAGAGGATATTATAAACAATGGTAATGAATTATTATAAATTTTTTCGAAAAATAACTTTTATATAATAAGTTATTATTTTTAGGTGGAAATTTGCATACATTTGTGTTTTGGAAGAAACAGTACGTAGAAAACGTAGAAATTGGGACTGGAATCATATGAAAAAACATCGAGATATGTGTCGTTCTTACGCTGAAGCGTATAAAATGAAATTGACAACCAAGAAAATTCCACAGGAAGTAGAAGAACTTCTTACTGAATGTGAAAAGAAATTAGATATTTTTAATTTAGTCATTATTAGGCAAAAAATTGAAATGGAAGTTAGTTGATGAAAATTTTTAACTAATAAAAATATATATTCTATATTTTACTGTTAATTAATAATTTGGTTTTTAATTTATACTCTGTAGGTTGAAAAATTAGTAGAAAAAGAAAAAAGCTTAAAAGCGAAACGTGGTTGGTTCGGTTTTTTGTGGTCCAATACACAAATAGAGGAAACACAAGAGTTAAATTCTGCAGCTGCTATAAGTAATAATTTTAAATTTTCTTGCATATTATTTTAAAACATTTATATAATATAATTAATTTTTTTATTCTTATAAATGTATTTATTTTAGTGCGAAAATTTGAGGAAGCAATGACACCACAAGAGAAAGAAAAATTGTACCGAGCAATTGATTATCAAGAAAATGGTGTGCCAGTTCATTATCCCGAAACATATGAAATGATAGATACGCGATTTCTTTTATATGAGTTACAAATTATAATTTTAGATACAGATAAAGACTATCCTTGTATTATGGATCTTCAGTTACATAGTGTTGAAGCTTGTTTCAAATCAAGACCATCTGCCAATGCCATTTTGTATATATGTTTTAATTTTATTATAAAAATTTTAATTTTAAAATTTTAACATTAATATTTAATTTTCTATAGAGTCACAGCATCAATTAACGAAATGAAATTATTAGGAACAAAACAAGATGATTATATACCTTCACTTTTCAATTCACATCAGCATGGCACAGATAATGTTCTGATTTCTGTATCATATGAAAAGAATCCTCTTGATAAATTATGTGGTGATCGTATCATAGTAAAATCAAAATCTGTAGATATTATTTATGATGCACAAACTGTAATAGAATTAATTAACTTATTTAAAGTACAAAATTCATCAACTTTATACAAGTAAGAATATTATATTTTATTATTATTTTTATCATTAATTTTATCAATTATTTACAAAATACTTTAAATAATTAATTTTTCTACATTTAGTCTTCAAGCAGCTGCTGCAGAACAATTAGAAGGTTTAAAAGAAATGTCGGCTTTAGGTTTAGAACATGCCATTCAAAAACATTCGGTATTAGATATACAGGTAAAAATTCTATAATATAATTATATATTGATTATAAGATATAGAATTTAATGTATATTATATTTAATAGGTTAATATGCAAGCTTCTCAATTAATCATACCACATGATGGAAGATATAATAGCACAAAATCATTGTTAATTATTGATCTTGGTAGTTTACAAATACATTCTCTAGAAAAACCAAAAGACGTTAAAACACATGTAACTGTTAAACAATTAATTAGCATGGGTAAAACTGAAGAAGATGTGTTATTGCATCTTAGAGAACATAGTTATGACAAATTTGTTTTAAAGATAGTTGATTTTCAAGTATGTATTTTAATATTTTAAATATAAAATGTGTAAGTATTGGTATAAAAATTATATAATATTATATAGATATTAGTTTCATTGCCGGGTGAAGAGTGGCGCACAGTTTTATCAAACATAGATGATTCTATGACATTATTACATCCAACAACACTTGAAATTCAATTTCACAAATGTTTAATAACGGATGATCCTTTACTTCCAAAATTTAGACTGATAGGACAATTACCATCGTTTGTTATTAATATAACAGGTATTTTTCAGAACGAAATATTTTTTAATTATTAGTGTTTAATAATGATGTAAATATAATCTTTTTTTAAAAATTTTTTTAGATATTCGTTTATTACAAGCTCTTTCTATTGCTCAGAGCATACCATTTCCAAAAGAAGAAGAACCAATAGAACTTTACAAATTATCTTTGGTATATTTTGTATTATAAATATAATTTTTATATTTACATTATTAAATGTTATATTTTAATTATAAAATATTTGTTTAGAGTAAATCTGTTTCACAATTATCTTTACTGAAAGATTTAACTACTACTATTGCTGAAAAAAAAAAATAGAAGATCCTATTGTAACAATTAAACAAACAACTGATATGGAAATGAGATTTGAAATGAAAGGTAACACGATGTTTTGTAAATAATTAAATATTTAATTAATGATCGCATTATTTACTATAGAATTTGCAATACAAGTTTCATCTCAAAAAGGCAGTGAAATAATACCATTTATGAAATTCGAAGTATTACAATTAGAAGCCGAAATGTTACAACGAACTTATGATAAGGAAATATTATTAAGATTAGGCGGAATTCAAATAAAGCAACACTATAATCAAAGAGAAATATTTATGGTAAACACTCCTATGCTTTCTGGTAGAGATGAATATTTGATAACAGTTCAATATGTAAATGTAAGTAAATAATTTTTTTAATTATCAAGAAATAAATTATTTGTAAAATATAAATTAAAATATCTATTCTTAAGGTAAATAAGCGATCTCCAGAATTTAAAACAAAACATGGATCTGTTCTTCAACTATTAAAATTAGAATTTACAACATTAGACATTTGGCTGCATCAAGAAGCTCTAATAAATCTTCTTCAATTTATATCATACATTCAGGTAATTTAAATTCAGTATATATAGAAATTTAAATTTTATTCTTTTGTATTTAAATTGTAGGATCAAATGAATGCTATAGCAAATAGTAAACTTGAAAAAGAATCTTATATGCGTCCACGACTTACTCATTTGGTTTCCATTCAAGAAGAAACTACTACATTTTTGAAGGAACAAATTCATAAGCAAAGACTTAGGTCAATAATGCGTAAGTACATTTCTATTATATTTCTCTATTTTTAAAATTTGAATTATAATTTATAATTATATACATATGGATTTAGGTCGGAGAAGAACAGTCATTGAGCATATAGATTTAAAAATACAAGCAAAAGTTGGAACTATCTGTATGAAGATAACTAGCGATTGTAGAGAAATTACTGCATTTTATATTGATGGTATCAGTGCTGGATATATAATGAAATCTTCACATTCGCAAGCAAATGTTAATTTATCTTCTATTAATATTAAAGATCTTAATGTGGCATCAGCTTATAGAAATGTAAGTCAATTTTTCTATATATTTTATATGAAATATAATTAATTTATCATAATATTAATAATTATAACTAATTAAATAGATTGTATCTGTAACAGAAGATACCGAATCTTTACAAATTCAGGCTATAATTTACAATATTGAACCTTCAGAAATTGATAAAAATAATATGTCCATTACGGTTGTTATGGGTTGCTATCGTATTGTTTTCTTGAATATGTTTGTTACCAGTATAATGGTAAACAAAATCTTTATATATAATAATTAAGATATCTTAATATATTTAAATAATTAAAGTATATTTGATTTTTTAGAGTTTTTTAAATAATTTTCAAGCAGCCCAACAAGCTATAAAAGAAGCATCAGCAGCAGCCGCAGAAGTCGCGAAGATAAATATTAAAGATGCTAGAAAAAGCGCAACACGTATTGGACTTGCAATAAAAATTAAGGTGTTTATTAAAATTTGAAATATTATAATTAGATATTAAATTTTTTAAATTATATAATAATTATAATATAATAGGCTCCAGTTATATATGTACCAATGCATTCAACAAGTGACCATTGTTTAACACTAGATATGGGTAATCTTACTATATGCAATATTTTTAAGAAGTTAGAAATTACAAATGAAGTTGGAGATTTTCCTATTATTGATGAAATGAGAATTGAATTACAAAATTTTAAATTATCTCGGTAAGATTAATTATTTATAGAAAATAGCAACAATTATTAATTTTGATAGTCGCAATTATTTAGTATATTATTTTTATAATAGGGTGAGATTGAATATAGAAAAATTTGTAATTCAAAATGAAATATTGCTATTAGAACCAGTTAGTTTTACATTACTCATTAAACGTAATTTATCCAGTGCTTGGTTTACCTCTATACCAGATATTGATATGTCTGGTAGATTAAATAAAATTAATATATTGATAAGTAAAGAAGATTATGTAACAGCAATGAAAGTGTTAGAAAAAAATTTAAGTGAAACTGTTGAAGATAAAAAATTTACAGCAAGTGTTAATAAAAAAAAAGTTGAAATAGAAGTTTTACATCATCGACCTGGTAGATATGAATAATTTGTTTTATTTATAATTAATTTAACGAACAAAATAATTATAAAGTAATTGTGTTTTTTGAACAGAAAAGTTTGTAACTATTACAGAAGAATCAGAAGATACAGATTTACAAGAACAAGTACATATACACACATCTATTAAATTTGAATTTGTTATGGATAGTCTTGTAATTACTTTATTTACGGGAGGTTCAAAAACGGTAATTTCAATAATTATTTCGAAATTTTTTGATATTATTGCATACATATCTATATATATTATGTAATTAAATTGTAGTTACAATCACAAAGTTCTCTACTTCATTTGCCAGAGAATGGCTTAGCTAAATTTTGTTTAACGCATTTTGCATTGAAAGGTCGAATATTTGCCGATGGATTAATGGCAACTTCGATTCTTCTTATGAATTGTACTTTAGATGATATTCGTCAAAGTAGACAAGGTTCATTTATTAGAATTATGGAGCGAATAACAGTAATATCTTCCATGAATAATATAGAAGAAGAATCAAAACCTGTTCGTAGTATGTTAGATATGACTATTAGACAAAGTTCAAATGATACATTTGGTAAGTTAAAAACTTATATTTCTTGATTAATAAAAAATATATTTTTATTTTTTATTTAATATATCTTATTAAATATTTTTATATATAAATTATTTCGTTTATTAAATTTTATTTTAATTAAATTTTGTTTTCAGTTGATATTCGAGTATTTTCATTTAGTATAATCGTATCACTTGATTATCTAATGAAAATAAAAGATTTTTTCGCGATTGATAATTCATCAAATAAACCAGTATCTCAACATGTAAAGAACGAACCAATAGTTAAAAAAAAACAAATTGTATCATCAACTAAAACAATGTTTACAATTAATATACATATTGAAAAGCCTGATATTATACTATTGGAAGATATGGATGATATAAATTCTAATTGTATAATACTAAATGTAATATTTACTCTCTTATTTTTTTTTTTTTTTATTATAATACATGTTATATATTATTCTTTTATCTAAATATTTTATTTTATATAGACTGAATTATTATTGAAAGTACGTTTGATGGATGAACATCAAGTAATAACTGGTACCATAAAAGATTTGTCGATTTTAGCTGGTATATATAACCCTGTGAGAAGAAGTGATTGGATATATCAAGTAAAAATTTTCGTTTATATTTTATATTCTATATATTTCTATATTATTTATATATAGTATTAATTTATAATTATCTTAATTATAAAGGTTTTAAGACCATGTAGTATAAGTGTAGCAGGTTCTACACCAGATGGAAAAGGGCTTCATGTCGATATTTGTTGTACAGATATTCATTTATCAGTTTCGCCAGGTAATTCGATAAAATATTAATATACAATAAAATTATTAATTAAATTCGTTATTTATAGGTGTTATAGAAATATTGAATAAAGTAATTCATACTGTTACAAAGACGGAAATAAAAGATCAAGAAATTGTTATTACTGAACAGAATTATGAAGGATTATGGATTATAACACCATTTGAAGAGAATGATTTTTGGTTTTTAAAAACAGGTAAAATATATATATTTAATAATTTTATAATATTAACTATACATATTATATTATAAAATATACATATTAAATATACATTATTTATTATAAATCTTCTTTATTTAATATAATATTTTTTATTTTTTAGAAATAGGAATAGAAGCTATAGAAGATTTTACATATTCTGATGATGAGGATATTATTTATAAACCACAATTAGCAATAATCTCTGCGCCGACAATTCTGTTCACATTGGAAGCAGGTGTTGGGAATAAAACATTACCAATGCTTTTACTTCATATCGGTTTCCAAAGTAATATTTATGATTGGAGTACGAAAACCGTAAGATATATTGATTTTAATAATGATTTTTCTTCTGCTATACATTAAAAAATTGCTTACTTTTAGATGAATATAGAATATACAATGTCGGTAATTATGGCATATTATAATAGTCAGTTAGCATTATGGGAACCATTAATTGAACCAATAGAGAGAATCAAAAATGAAAAGCGAGTTTCAACACCATGGGAACTAAAAGTTAAAGTAATATATTTTAATTTTTGATAATTAAAATGTTATTATATTTTTTTTAATATTTTTATTGTTGTTATTTATATTTTATTTATTTTTATTTTATATCTTAGATTCAGTTTAATGATATATCAGCAAATTCTAGAGGTATAAATGCGATCAGCCCTACATCAGATAGTGAAACAGAAGAATTTCATCAAATTCCTAAAATGTCTATTGATATTCTATCAACTGTAAGTTCATAAAATATTAATATTTTTTATTTTTTAATTATGTATTATATATTTTACGTAAAATCTTATAATATTTTATAATAGGAAAATTTGGAAATAACTTTAACAAAAACGTGTCTCAATGTACTAAAACAACTCGGTAATGCATTTTCATCTGCCATGGAAGTTACTGGAAAAGTAAAGACGAAAAGTGTGGCGCCATATGTACTAAAGAATGAAACTGGCTTAGCGATGATTTTAGATTTAGAACGTAGTCATTTTAAGGTTATTTTTTTTATTATATTAATATTATTATATTATATATTATATTATATTATTATATTATTATTAATATTATTATAATTATAATTAAGGTTTATTATTATTAGATTTTATATTCTTAATTTTAAAAATAATATTATAAGATAAAAAATATTTATAAATATTTATAAAATTATTTCAGGTTTTTAAAGATGGATTAAAATTTACAAGCAATAATACTGATTCATATATGGAAGTGATTCTTGAATCTGGTGCATCAGTAGAATTAGTTCCAAAAACTATGAAAACTATAATACCATTGCTTGAACAATTGAAAAGTGAAACAATTCAAGAAAGAAATGATGATAAGTTTATTATTTCGGTAATATATTTAAAGTATAAATTTATGAATTTTTATTTTTCATATAATTAAAATAATGTTGAACTATTAATATTTCTTGAAGTTCAAAGAAATTCATGGAATCTTAGCAATACCCGTTTTAAGAGCTGATAAAAGATTCTTTTCATTGAGATATCGAAAGGATAGTTCTGAAGAATGGGGTATTGTTTCCGACGTTGTAGTTGACGAAGGAAGTACTATTGTTACTCTTCGAAGTATTCTACAGGTGATCTATATGTCTTTTTTCTTAGCTTTAATAAGTGTAAATAAATGTTTTATAGATATATATATTTTAGGTGCACAATCATTTTAATCAACCGATATCTGTATATTACATGACTAAACGTGGAAATGAAGTTGAATGTGTAGGAACAGTTGCTCCAGATAGTAAATTAAACCTTCCACTAGATGCTGTATATACTCCAACAAATGTTCATGGGTTATTTTTTAGTGTTGAAGGGTATAATATTTTTATACAAAATTTTATATGTTTTATACTTTTTTTATCTTTATTTAAATATTATCTAAATTTAATCTTTTTTTCTAGATATATGGTTTCAGAACAATTTATTTGGAAAGATCTACAAAAAACAATCAGTATGACAAAACTCTTAAAATGCGAAGCTAGAATAAGACAAGAAATTGTAGAACCATTTTATATTAAGGTAATAAAATCAAATATTTTCATTTATTTGTACACTTAGAAAATTTTTTATATTTTATTTTTATTTCTCGAGATTTTACACTATGTAGTACATGTAATTATTATTCACGATGTTTTCGATTATGTTTAATAGAGAGATACAATGAAACAGTATATTTAATTATCTTCTTTCTTATGCTGTAATCAAACAAAATTTCGTTAAAAATTACATTATATACATGCTTTTATAAGCAGCAGTTTTTACTTTTAGATGTTTTTCGTGATGATTGTGGTTGGTAGTATTTTATATAATAACAACACTATTGGCTTATTATTGAATGCTATTAACTGGCGATCCGTATTCTCTCGTTTCATTGATTGCATCAAGCATCTTTGCTTGAAAAATTTATCCTCAGAACAAAAAATTTATCCTCAGCACAAAAAATATCTGGAAACACCTATTCAGGTATTATCGTTTTCTTCTAAGTTAGTTTGAGAACCAGTTGTTATTTAGTATACATTGAATATCATTGAATATAAATAAGTATTTGTACAATCGATATTAGATAGTTAATAATTTTATGTGAATGTATTGTAATACAGTAGGATGAGTTAGTTATTATGATACAAATCCTCTATGTGTTTGACTGAAAATGATTATTGGCATGGTTTTACAATTATTAATTGTGTTATATTAATATAATTTCAAGGAAATATAAAAAGGAAAGCAAGCAATTCTATATTAAGTTTTTTTTAATAAACTTGATACTTTTCATTTTTTAAATTAGAAAAGAAAGTAATTAATTTTTTGTTTTATAAGAGTGTTTCTTATTTATTTATTTTGTTATTTTAGCATTTATTATTTTATTTATTTCAATAATAAATTTTTATATTTATTTAAAATATTTTTATTCTGTATAAAATGTTTAAATAGTTACATGTTCAATAGTTCAAATAGTAAAAATTTATATTAGCATTTGATACAATATGTTCATTGCACGTTTTTTATATTTTTTATATTGTTATAGAACGTATTGTTATGCTTAAATATTGAAAGAAATTATTGTCTATTATTGTTTATTATTTAGATAATAGTATGAAGAATGATAGAATAACAGAGTAGAAAAATAATTTCTACATGTAAATTTATATATTTATATATTTAATAATATTATAATTTACAGGTGGTTGGTGAAATAGAACAAGTTTATTTTGAAAATACTTCTCGCTATACTATGGCAAGTACCATTTATAATGTTCATTTATACCCATCTGTATATTTGAAGAATTTTCTACCTATCAATATTATTGTAAATTTACCTGGATCTGTACAAGAGAAACTTTTAGAAGCTGGTACATCTTATCAAATTCCTACAATTGATCCTGGGAAATCTTGTATAATCATAAAAGTAAGTAAATTATAAATTTCATGATGATTCATGTATTTATATTATAATAATTACTTAATTATAATTATATAATTATAGTTACCAAATTATTTAGAAAAAGATTGGTCATGTAAAGGCGAAATATTAGCGAATCCACCAGAATTTTCAGTTTGGTCTTTTGAATCTTTCGACAGTGCACAAAAAGTTATAATGGATTTAGGAATGCATACATCATATGATCATGGTTCTATTATTATGGCATTATATTGTCCATTTTGGATGTTGAATAAAACAGGCTTAATGTTGTCTTATCGTGTAAGTTTCATCATCATTTCATTTTTAAAAATTATCTAATAAATAATTTTATTATTTATTTATTTATTTATATTTATAAATATTGCTTATTTTATTTTGGCATTTTTATTTTTTTGACGAATAAATTTTTTAATAAATTATATTATTATTTAGGTTATTATTTAAAGAATAGATTTGATTAATTATAATATAAATTTATTATAAAAATTTATAATATATTTTTATTTTAAAAATTTTTTATCTGAAATAAAATCTTCATTAAATAAAATACTATTAACTATATAATATTATAACGAACTATTTTAATATATTATAAATGATTTTTTGTTGTATTAAGCATGTAACTAATTTCTATAGAATGCTTGATTTATATTTTGTGCTGTATAATTGCTATGTTTAGATTACATATGCTGGAAGTAGTATAATGTTGCAAATTTTTAATCTTCTGTGATCATATCTTATTCAATACATTATTTTACAGAAATCAAGTAAGGGTGGCAAAGAACACTCAAGTCCAATCAAGGTAGTGATTTCATGTTACAGTATTTTTCATGCTTTGGACATAATATTAAATATATAATTTTTATCATGTAATGGTGGCTGTATTTTTCAATGTACAAAATTTATTTCAAAATTTCAGAATTATGTTAACAAAAGTATTCTTAAATTCAGTTGGAATTTTTTAATTTTCTTATTTTATTTAAATTAATCATATTTGTTTAATGTAATGAAATATTAGCATATGCAAAATGTTAAAAATAGCTTTTCAATTTAAACTTTTATTTATATAGATAACTTTTATGGATATAAATATTAAAAGATTATTTCATATATAATTTAAAAAAAAAACTAATTTTTTTGTTAACAATTTTATGAAAATACATAAGAAGATATCTTTCAGAATTTGGTTTGTGTGAAATCTCATCAACCACATGTAGAATACAGGATGAAGAAAACACATTTGGTGATATATTGATTTTATTTTATATTGATAATGATTTAAATTTGCAAATTGTGAAAGAATTATAAAAAAAAAAAAATATCCATTATCTTATTCAACTAACTATATCTCTGTCTATATATTAAATCTTTTACATTTTTCTACATATTATTATCAATGCTTTTTTATTAACAGCATATTGCTAATTTTTCTTTTTCTACTAAAAAATATAATTATTCATTAATAATGAATGGCATATATACTTCAAAAAATTAACCAAGAAATATATTTAGTTCCATTCATGTTTAATTCTTTTTATTAGTTGGCTTTTTGTGGCATTATTGTATTTTGCAACATTACGCATACTTTTTCATGCTATAAATAAGATATTATTGCTTATATATATGTATATATATTACTATGTGTGTACAAAATAGTGATTGCTATGAAACTAAATAGTATTTATAGAAATATAAATATAATATAAGAATTTAATATCATAGAAAATTAATTTGTACATTAATTCAATGAATTTTTATAAATTCATCAAAAGAATTTATAATATGAAGAGAAAATCATAAAATGCAAAAATTTAGATTTTGTTATTAAAATAATAAGCAAGATTATAAAATAAAATTACTGATTGTAGTTAAAGTAGTTTATTGTAATTTGTCACATAATGATGTAAAAAATATATTGAAAAATAATTAATTGCAATTAATTGCATTTTTTGTGCACAATGTATTTAGATTATTGAAATATATTAATTTTGGCACCAAAATTTAATTGTATACATATTTTCAGAGTGGAGAAGATTATCTAAATGTATTATATCATCCAGAGAATTTTAAGGGACCAATATTGTTTTCATTTCGTTCTAAAGTATTCTTTGGTAAAAAGAAGGCAATGATTAGAGTGGAAGATGGTGAATGGTCTGATAAATTTCCTATAGATGTTGCAGGAAGTGATGGAGTAGTTACTTGTAAATATAATGGTCTAACATACCAAGTCAGTATTATTTTCTATTTTTTTTTATAATTTCATTATTTACTCACTTTATATTAATATTTTTTTATAAATTACAGATTGGAGTTCATAATCAATTAACTTATAATTCTTTAACAAAACAGATTACATTTACTCCATTTTATGTATTGATAAATAATTCTGATTACCTTATTGAATGTCAAGAGGGTAATAGACCAGCTGATCCTATGATTAAGGTAATAGATTTTAAGTTTTTTTAATTATATTAAGTAGTTATATTAAATATATTATTTAACAGCTGTTAATTATATTTTATATGATATATTTCATCTAAATATAATTTTTCATTATTTATTTATTTATAGGTTCCCCCTAGAGAATGCACAGCTTTTTGGCCTCGCTCTGATCATGAGCAAAAACTTTTAAAGGCTAGAATTGCAGGTGATCTCGAAAAAACTGTATCATTTATTTATACAGAAAGTCATACAACTTTATTGAAATTAAATAATAAGGTTTGATAATTTTATTCTTTTTAATAAATAATTTATATATTTCTATAATTCTTATTGTTTAACAGTATGGAGGAATTAATGTAGATATACAAATAAGTGAAGGCGGTATTTACATTTCCTTATCTGTTTATAATCATGGAAATGCTCCAGCCTTAATTATTAATCATACTCCACATACTATCAATTTCTGGGAAAAGGGTTCACTAAATATCAGGTACAATCAATTATTTAAAAAAATTATTGTTATTAATATTATAATATAAATTATTTCACAGATCTATACAAACATATAATAAAATGTTTTATACTTGGGAAAATCCTGCAGGACCGCGAAAATTGATTTGGGAAGATGGCAATAAAAAAGAAATTGAAGAAACTCTTCGAAAAGTAAATATCTAATATTTAATTAAATTTATTAATTTTTTTCTAATTTAATAATATTAAAAAATCCATTTTTTAGGATACATTAGGAATTTTTCATTTACCAGATTTGGAAGAACAAGTATTTTATGTATCGTTTTTAGATGGTACACAACGAGTATTATTATTTACATCAAATATGAAAATTGCGGAAGATTGTCAACTATCTGATGATTTTGAAGTTATAGAACAGGAAGTGTCAATAAATATTCATGGAGTTGGTTTTTCACTTGTTAATAATATTACAAGATCTGAATTGTTATATATGTGTATCGCTAGGTACATTATTAATATAAATATTTGTTATGATTTATATTTTTATAACAATTTATTGTCATGCTTTTTTATTATTATTATCTTTTAGTTCTGGAATTATATGGGAAATCCGTAAATCCATTAATCATCGATGGCGTAGTCTTAGCACAAGGGAAGTAAATCTTATAGAAGAAGGCTATCAAAAATATATGCGTGAATTACAAATAGGAAAAGATCCGATGCAAAAAGTAGTACTTGAACCAAAATTAGAAGTAATAGAAATAATAATTTCATTTTCAATTTTATAATATATATATTTTCTTATCTTCTATTCTCAAATTAATTTCAATTTCAGGTTGATTATTTAAATATGGAAATGTTGAAACCAAATCGTCGTTATCTACGAAGAACTTTCCAAACTGGTTTATGGTTGCAATACCGTACTTCAGTACATCAAGTGCAGTTACATGCAAAAATTAACAGATTGCAAATTGATAATCAACTTGCGGATTGTATTTTCCCAGTTATATTGGCTCCAGTTCCGCCCCCAAAGAGTGTTACAAATGCTGGTAAATTTTTATTATTTATTTAATCATTTATAAAAAATGAAAATATTATATAAATTATGTATATTATACAATATATATAATTATATATACATATATAAGAATATAAGAGGATATTAAAATATTCATGATAAAATATATTTTATCATGATAAAATATATTTTATCATGATATATGTATATCTCGATTCTAGAGATTAAAATAAATGCAAAATTGTTGATTGAAATTTATTTACTAAATTATAATTCAAATTTGCGTCATCTTGACACTTCGTTTCATCTAATGTAAATTTAAGTTCTTTATAATCATAAAAATAAATTAATATTTTGTTTTTATTTTAATTTAGAATCTAGTCTTTCCAAAAGTATAAATGAATATATGTGTGTGTGTGTGTGTGTGCGTGCGTGTGTGTGTGTGTTGTGTATGTATGTATTTTACATATTATTTTACATGTTATTATACATGTTAAATTTTTTAACAGTTGAAATGAAACCATTTGCTGAACTTAGTATGATTAAACGATTACTTGTACACAGTAATGTACAACAATTCCGGTATTTTAAGGTTCTTATACAAGAATTTCATGTGAAAGTAGATATTGTATTTATTAATGCGATTATGGGATTACTTGAAACAAATGAAATGAATGATGCGGAAGAAGTGAGTTTTATTAATAGATAATATAGATAATATATAAAATTCTAAAATATTATAATAATTACCTTTTTGTAATTTAGAACAAACTATTCAAATTAGATGTAAAACTTGTTGATGAACCTTTGATGTATCACGTCAGATTAATTACTACAGCCGAACAGAAGAATTTCTTCGATCTTCTTCATTTTTCTCCATTAAAGGTTTTTTTTTTGTAATTTAAATTAATCATAATTATATTTTATTAATATTATATTTTTATAATTATTATAATTTTTTCAGATTCATATAAGTTTTTCAATGACTGGTGGTAATAGTGGGCCTTCTGCAATGCCTCATGTATTAAATGTATTATTACAAGGAATAGGAGTTACATTAACAGATATTCACGATATTGTCTTCAAGTAATTGTATTCAAAATTAAATTTTAATTATATTACTAAAATTAAATTTGTATCGATAAAATTTTAATTCTATATTATATAAATCATATATTCTATATATATAAACCATATATAAATCAATATTTTTTATTTTTACAGATTAGCATATTTTGAAAGAGAATATATTTTTATGACTCATAAACAACTCATTCATGAAGCAACATTACATTATGTGGGACAAGCAATTAAGCAAGCTTATGTTCTTGTTTTGGGACTCGATGTAATAGGAAATCCGTATGGCCTTGTGGTGGGTACCATGAAAGGCATTGAAGATTTATTCTATGAACCTTTCCATGGTGCCATTCAAGGGCCTGGAGAATTTGCAGAGGGTTTGATTCTTGGTGTGAGAAGCATGGTAGGTCATACTGTTGGAGGAATGGCAGGAGCCGTTTCTAAAATAACTGGAGCTATGGGTATGTTTTAGAAATTGTAATTTTGAATGTGTATTAAAATACATGTGTATGTGAAACGTACATTAATTAATCGCATAATCAAATTTAGTAGCATGTTTTCTTTTCTCTCTTCTTTATGTAATGTTATTTTGTTTGCCTACAATTTAACATTATTATTATCTTTTATCTTTTCGCAAGTTTTAGTTTCTATTAAAAAATCGAAACTTCAACTCCTAATAT